TCCAAAAATTATATCTCAATAAGTTGTTGAAAAAAAACCAACTCCCATCTATGTTAAACGACCTGTCTTACAAGCGTCAGGTTCCCAGACCCTGAGGTGAGGATTCATGTATGAGTGATTTACTCAGTGAGTGCTCCCAGAAGACAACAGCAAGGTGAGAGAGCAGGACAAGGAGGGAGGAAGCAGCAGGACTGTGGTCTTAGGCAGAGCTCCCCACAGTGGCCTCCACCTGATCCTGAGGGGGGCTCTGGGGCATGAGCCTCACAGTGTGTCCTGTTTCAAGACAAGGCAGTAGGAGAGATTCCTCCTGGGGCCTGAGGACAATCCACAGTGAGTCACAGGTGCAGCGGCTGGAAACGAAAGAGCACAGAAGCTGGGGAATGAGAGCCAGAAATGGGAAAGGGATTCAAGGGGATCCAGCAGAGCACCACCAATATCCATTACACCCTCCTAGAAGAACTCGTTTCTTATTATGATGAAGTATAATATGCCTGCTTTCTTCAGACTGTTTTCTAAATGCTGAATTACTAAAGCAAGGGTGTTCTGACATGAAAATCATCTGCAGAATCTTGGGCACGGACCACTGGAATGGGATGAAGGGCCAGCACCAACTGACCCACGGCAGCAGCCCACCCACTTGGGCCACATCCACAGACCCCTGGGGGGAGAGCAGACACAGTGGTTGGGGGAGGGGCTGGAAGCAGACAGATGTGGGTTCCAGGATGAGCCCCACCATTTTCTGGTTGTGTGGCCCTGCAGCTGTTGCTTAACCCACTCGCCTCACTTCCTCCTCTGAGAAATGGTAAAAACAAACTCATTTACCTCACAGGGTCACCGAGAGGTTTAAAGAGACAAAACAGGTAAAGCCCTCAGCAGATCCCTGGTGTGACATGCGACACAAGTGCTCAGGAAGAACTGCTTGTATCCCTGAACAATCATTTCTCTCCTCCCCCCCCCAACTTCCCCGCCATCCACGGCAGCCCCCACCCCACCACTCCTGGTCACCGTCTGCGTCCACTGATGCCGTCTGGAGCTCAGGACTGACACACCTTCCCTCCAACCCTCACGCTAGCTCTTTTAGCTTTTCCAGAGCAGAGGCTCTGGCACATTTTAGGATTCATTCAGAATTTGTACGGGTCAAAACAGAGGCCTGACATGTTTAGAAAGTACCCAGATTAATCTTGGGGGTGGGATGCAAAACAACACCCCATAGGAAAACACCATCCAGTCCTCTCCACCCCAAGTTACACTTCTAGGTGTCCTTCTAGCCACTGGGGTTTACAGAAACCTCCAAAACACCATATTACTTAGTTGTGAACAAAGCAGAAATTAAATTTTCTCATTTGGTGGAAACGTTTCTGGCTGACATTTGGGAAAAGGGAAGAGGTTAGCTTAAAGATCTGGTACCCCCATCCCTCATACCCCCGTTTCTCTTGTCTGTTTACCTATCCTTTTTCTCTCTCTCCTCTCTTACATTTCCAAGGGCCCATTTCATAGTTTGAGAAACCAAGGAAGAAAGGACATCACTTATTCTACTTGACAGATATTATGCAGGTTTTCCCTGTTCACGCAGAGGTACCTACCATACCTCGGGGAGAAAACTGTATTTTCTACATCACTTCTAAATCGTTGTTCACTTTTCTCTTCATCATTATATTTATCTGCTAATTTTGATACTAGATTTTTTCTTCAATATTGACATAACAGAATGAAACAGAGCAAAATAAAACATACAGAATAGTGAGAGCAACAACAGCAACAACCCAATTTCTCATGGGAATGGCCCAAAGGGACCTGGGCTCTGTTTTGAAGCCAGTTTGAATATGCAGGTTGCGTTAGTCCAGATCTCTGAAAAGCAGACACCCAGCAGGTTTTATACCTTTATTAGAGGAGGCACCTGTGAGGGAAAATGAGCAGTGCTGTCAGGCCCCAAGTGAAGCAAGGAGCAAAGGAAGGATGGCAGAAGACTCCCAGCCTGTTGTGTAGACTAAGGGGAGTTTGGCATGTCCACTGGGGAGCCCTCGAGCTAAAGCCGGCCGTCAGAGGAGGCCGTGTCTCCCAGGGGTGGGCATGCTCGGTTCCTTGCGGGCTGGGTCAGGAGTGGTGCAGGCCACAGGATGCGTGGCCTTGGGGCAAACAGAGCATTGGTTTCAGGGCCCAGCAGCGGGGCTTGGTCAGTCACACACCCTGCAGTTGGAGGTGTGCCAGGTGCATGCTCATGGCCGCCCAGTGGGTGGTTCGTTGCATCGCTGGTTTAATTCTAGATGGCAGCTGGAGGCCAATACTGAGTCTAGACTCTGCTCTTCCGTTCAGATCTTGAGACGCCCACTACCTCCCCAAATAGCACAGCTTCCACGTGGTCACTCCAATTTGTCTTGCAGAGGAGTCTGTGACGGGGGCTTGCTTCTGCTGATGTTGGGCCTTCACAGAAGGGCAGGGTGCTGTCAATGGAGGGAACTCAGAAATACACTGGGCCACCAAGTGCCAGAGGCAGGCGCCGCCGGCTGCATGAATCCTTCCCTTAACTCCACTGGGAACATGTTAGTAAGTGGAGGTAAATGGCCGGAGTCCACCTTCCTGCCCCAGGACCCTGCACCCAAGAGCTGGTGTTGAAGATGGGGGTAATTAAAGGAAGCCGCGTACTTCTCCCTGCTGCTCTGGCAATCACTTCCTTTCACACGCTCAAGGCCGTGGTTGACCTGAGCCTTCCGCAAGAAATTTCTGGCCCCTTCATAGCTTCTGAACATCTTTTGCTTGTCCGTTTGTTTTCCCCTCAGATGCTCCCATATTCCTAAGCTGTCTTCTGTCTGGTTTGTTGTTGTTGTTGTTGTCATTTGGTGGTTTTTCCTGAAAAATGTTTCTTATGTGCACTGAGAATCTGAAAGATCAGAGGTATCAGTGTTTGGTGTCAGGTTTTCCTGTGTACCTTGGGAACCTGTGAGTTGAATGCCTTGAGCAGCCTGAAAGAAGCATCAGATATCTCCTGCCTATCCAGACAGAACAAGCCACTCTGGACCTCGGGGAAACCCCTTTGGGTTCTGCCTTTACCTTTTGCCATCCTCATCTTCAGCTGAAGGCACCAGTCCTTCAGATGGTGCTACAGTGCAGGAAAAATGACCACCAGTGAACAGTCTAAACTCTGGGGTGGAGCCCAGCTCTGCCTTTCAGCCTCTCTGTGGTGTTTGCCAAGTCCCTTGTTGAATCTCAGTTTCCTCATCTACCACATGGGGTATCAACAGCATCCCTATCAGCCTCGTGGGGCTGCCATGGGGACCCTTGTCCAAATGAGAGGATAGGCCAGAAAGGCAGTTGGCAACTGTACTGTGCTGTGCCCATGTGATGAGCAGTCATCAGACGAGCACCTCACAGAGTTCTCCTACCCAACCTTAGTCTTGAGGGATGATAATAGGTGTTATTTGAGAAAGAAAAAGTTTTTCTACCTTAAAAAACGTTTGAGGAATGCAAGGTTACCCACGTTTAAACCTGTTCCTCACTGTGGATTTCTCAGAGACTTTAGCATCCTATGAATCTCTCTGAGTGCTTCCACACAGTGTCTGAGAGGATATGCTTCCTGTGCAAACCTGTGGGCTCCCACACCACACCCTCTGTTGGAAATGCCGTATTAGATAACATGATGGTCCCTGAGTGGAGGACACAGGTGTCAGACTTGGTGCCAGCCCCCATGCTGATGCTTGGATCATAAGAAACTTGAAAGACCGATGAGTTCATTTAACCAATGGACAGTTGATATGGGGCTACAACCTGGCAGACTGAATGCTCTTGATACCAAAAAAAAAAAAAAAAAAAAAAGCCCAGGAGAAACCCCTGACATGCGTGACGAATCTGACCAAGATCTCCCAGGGTCACCAGGGCCCTTCCAGAGTCCACACAGGCTCCTAAGTCACATTTCTAACAAGAATCCTATGTGAACGTGATTCTTGGAGAATTGGCCCATGGGAAAGGCCAACCCTATAATAACAGAAAGCAACGGAAGACTTCTTGTTTTCTTTCTCTTATTCAGAACAGAAGCTTGCAGTCCTCCTAACTCTTCTCTGACGGGGGTTCTACTGACCACCTGAGGTTGAATGCGGGCTGTCAAGCTCCTTCAAACTGGGGCCCCCAGTATGCCCGTGAGCCCTCCCAGCAGAGTCTTTGTCTTTTTTTTCCTATCTTTTCTTTATCATTTGAAGCATATAGCACAGTCCTGCATACACAGCAGATGCTTGATAAATACTTGGTGAATTTCATTGTCTTGTCCACTTAGCCAGTGTATCACAGATCACACCATCCATGGTCAGACCTCTCCCCACAAATATCAGGTGAACACTGGTCTGTGCCCAGGACCATCCTAGGTCTTGTGGACACATCAGCACATAGAGCAGGCACATGGCTCTGCCCTATGAGGCTTCTGTAACAGTGGCGTTCTACCCACCCGTTACGGTTGCTTAGCCATGGATAGTCCACAAAGACTTTTTACATATTTATCTTAGTTGGGTCCATGGCAACCCTATGATGTAGTTATTATTATTCCCAGTTGACAGATGAGAAAGCTGAGGTCCAGCAGGATTAAACGATTAACCCAAGGTCATGCTGTGGGCATGTGGGCGCCCCAACTGAAACTCAAGCTCAAGTCTTCTTGGGTGTGTAAACCCATACTACAACTCACCTCATCAAAGTCTCCCATTGAGCTCCGCAGAATAATTAGGTTATCCCCTAGCCATCAGTCTTTCTTTAGAAGGAAATCCCGATTTCGTTTTTTATCCTGTCTCCTCAAAGGTCAAAGCCCTGCTTATTCAAGAATTATCCCCCCTTCCAAAACAATGAGCAATTCCAAGGGAAGGCAGAACCCCTAAAATAGCTGCTAAACATCAATGGCGTTCATCTCAAGGATTACTCAACTGAGTGCTTAGTGTGTGATCTCAACCATAGAAAAGAAGAACTGCTCTTAAGCTCGATTATCTTTTTAAAAATTTGCAAAACCGTAGAAACTAAGCCCGTTTGAAACAGGAAGCTGTGTTCCTTCCTACCTTACTAATGTCGCTGGTGGTATCAGATGGTATCTCCGTTTCATGAGTAGCAAGACCTAAGCTATCACTGGACGCATAAAGGACTTTGCTAAATTGGCAGGTACCACTGTCTTCTTTTTGTTCTCATCTGGGCGAGAACTTATTAAATGCAACAGAAGTTGTTTATTCAGGAGAGGTTCCCAGGTAGATCATCAGGTTCCTAGGAGAAAGGAGATGGAGCAAGGGGTGTAGCCAGGCAGAAGCAATTCCTCCCAGGAGTACTCTTGGATGGAGGAGGTAGAGAGGGAGGCCTACTGCAATGCAGTAGGTAGTTTGGGACCAAAGTGGGAGAGCAGATTGTGAAATATGTCCATTTTCGTCTTGCTTTCTCCCATTCTGCTTTTCTCTCACCCGTATCATGATGTGTTTGCCTCTTCCACTCATCCAAACTTGGCCTTTTATCCTCTTCGGTCAACATGCCCAAGGCTGTGTCCATGCTGCCTTCCCTGGGCTTTCATAAATTCTCAACTATTGAGAGGATGACCACTCCAAAAGGGTTATACTTAGTAGCTTTGTGTTATTGATATTGATTTGTAAGAAACATTCAGTGAAAGTATAATTGACGTATGTGTGTACATACTTTTATATATTATATCTGTATATATACATATATATTTCAATTTTTCATTGAAAATCCACTCTAAGTCTGGCTATTAGATGGATCAGTTGTTCGGCTGGCTTGGTGTCTTTTTATCTGGATCTACAAAGTTGACTGTTTGCTTTTCCTGGATCTATATTAGAGGGCAGGAAGAGAAAGCCTTCCTAATCTTCTGGGAAACCTTCAATTGGTTGGGGATGAAAGTTAACTGTTGTGCGACAAGCGTTTTGAGGGGAGGCGGTGGGCTTACGGGGTCTTTGGTACATGGAAGTGATAGGAGTTGGAGTGTATCTGAAGCTCTTTTCAGAAAATGATGATGATTACCATGAACTATGCAGGTGGAGTTATTTCTCCTAGAGGAATAACTGCATGACTTAGTAAGAAAAAAGCAGATATACCCAGCAGAATAAAATGGGTAAAGGGCACAAACAGATAATTCGCAGGAAAGGAAATACAAATGATTAATAATTACAGCTAAAAAAAAAAAAAAACCCTCGGGGCTTCCCTGGTGGTGCAGTGGTTGAGAGTCCGCCTGCTGATGCAGGGGACGTGGGTTCGTGCCCCAGTCCGGGAAGATCCCACATGCCGCAGAGCGGCTGGGCCCGTGAGCCATGGCCACTGAGGCTGTGCATCTGGAGACTGTGCTCCGCAGCGGGAGAGGCCACAACAGTGAGAGGTCTGCGTACCACAAAAAAAGAAAGAAAGAAAACAACCCTCAGTAATTAAATAAGTGTTAGTTACATAATTAATGACATCCTTGTTGCCTGTAAAATTGGCTGAGGAATTTTTTTCTCTTAGATCTCCGTATTGATGGATGCTTGCTGAGACTGGCACCATCACCTACTAGTATATATATCGTTACACACCTTCTGGAAGCAATTTGGCAAAATGCATCAAGAGTCTTAGCAATATGACTAGCAGTAGAAACTGTGCTTTGGGAAATCTACTTTAAGGAAATAATAAAAATACAGACAAAGATGTTTACTGCAGCATTATTTGTAAAGGTGCAAATTGGAAACAACTTAATCACACAACAGTAAGACAATGATTAAATAACCATAAATATACAATATGTTGCAGTTGTTACAAATTATATTTTCAAATAATTTTTAACCACATGGAACTAGGTGCAGGGTATAAAATTTTAAGTCTCAGAATACAAAAGGGCATACAAGTGTGATATCAACTGTAACAAACATGGGGCCTAGAAAAGAGGCAGTGGTTCTCTCTCCAAGGCACAGGTGGAGGTGGAAATACCAGGGGCCAGGAAGCTGACCCTCCAGTATGCTGAACATCCCAACCATGTTATTTTGACTGCATAGGCGTAATTTCCCCATAAAACACTTCTTCATGATCATCTCTTTCAACTAAGTAACATATCAGCCTGTATACAAACACTAAAAATCAGCCACATTGGAAACACCCGCTACTGGAATATAAAGTGTAAATCTAATCTTTGAGCAAGGAAGTTGGTAAAAATATCCAAAGTCACTTGGCAGGTGGATGAAACCAAGTTACTTAACTGACTACACTCCAAGAATAGCGTGTAAACTTTGCTCGAGTAACTAATAATATGAGTGGCAGCCGTGCAAGTCCATGTGCTGCTCTAAAACATAAAGGCTGGGAGATGTCTGCTGCTGGGAAGAAGACTGCATTTATTCAGGATTTCAACCTTGAGGGGTTCCTGTGTATTTCTAGGGAGGGAGTTTACTGGCTCACGAGACAGCCCATTCTGTTCCTGCACAACTTGGTTCTCAGCCAGTTCTTCCCCATATGTGACTGAATGTAGTTTCTTCCAATACCATCAAATTCCTGTTCTCTGGAGAGTCTACTCCCTCCTCTACAGGAAAAGCTATTCCATTACAGGCTTTCCCTTCTCAAAGGAATCCAAAACATCGCCTAATCCAATTTTTTAACAAAAAAAGATTAGAAAACTTTGGTCCAGATCAAAGATGTATAAATATTGGGATAAAAAGGAAAAGAAAAGAAACTAAAATAAATCTGAAGACTTTTTTCATACAGAACATTCAGGTTCTGCCAACTACAGCTGATGTTTCTGGACCTTTATCATCCTAGCCTGTCCTATGCTCCAGGTTGATCCTATGCTCCCTCTTAAAATGTGGTACCTGGGACATAACCTAATATTTCAAATGTATAGTCTGAAAAGTGAAAAGCAAGGTAAAATTATTCTGCTCCATCCTTGTATTCATTTAAGAAGCATTTATTAAGCAGCTATTACTTGTCAGGCATTATACGGGGCACTAGTCCTGCACTGTCCAATATGGTGGCTACTTGCCACATGTGGCTATTCCAACTGAACTTGATTAAATAACATGAAAAGCTCAGTTTTTCAGCAGCAGTAGCCACATTCCAAGTGCTCAATAGCCATGTGGCTTGTAGGTGCTTTACTGAACAGCACAGATACAGAACATTCCATCACTGCAGAAAAGTTCTATTGGATAGTGCTGTACCAGATCATTATTTTTTCTGACTATCCCAGGTTTGCTGTGGAAAGAAGTACAAGGGAAGGGGGACTGGTTTCAAACTGTGTAAGTGGGAAGCAATTTGAGGAGCTAGATGGATAGGTAATTGGATGAATAAATGAAGGGCTAGCTGGGTAGAGAGGAACATGGAGAATCAGATGGGTAGATTTCCTTTGTTCTGGATGATCTGTTTACATAGACGAAGACTGAATTAGCTCTTGGGGTTGGCTTCTAAAGAGCCTGCAACTGAGGATACTCTTAGTTCAACCCCTAAATTTCCTCTTTTCTTCTCACTTCAGCTTAAGGAGGTTGGAGGGATGTAACTCAGAGACAGTAAACAGATTCAAAAAATTTGGGAGGGTGCAGTGTATCATCTATCTATCTATCTACCTACCTACCTACCTATCTATTCCTGTCATCTTTGTGAAAGATAATCTAACCTCGATGATTCTTCATTGGAATGTCAGTCGGTAAATGGATTAATATAATCTTGGGTTCCCATTAGGTTATTTAATTTGCTTGAGATCCAAAACCATTTGTGGAAATTCAAAATCCTCATTTACTGTAACTAAAGATTTTAACGAAGGCTGAAATGTCTTGTTAAAACATTACTGGATACCAATCACTGTGTTTTCTATAACCTCACTCCCTCACCTTCCTCAAGACTTTTCTCAAATGTCATCTCACGAGCTCCTTGTTGACCCCCTCCAATTTAAACTGCACCTCTTCAACCCCATCCTACTGCCTTTCCTCATCTCCTACTTTATCTTTCTCTGTAGCACTCATGACCATCTGAGACACTGTAGATTTTAGTTATATATTATTCCCCAACTAGAATATAAGCTTCATGAGGTCAGAGAGTTTTGTCTATTCTGTTCACTGATATGCCTGTGTCCCTGGAATAGTGCCTGGCATATCATAGGTGCTACTAAGTATTTGCTGAATGAATGACTGGAGAACCCCATGAGGCAGTAACTCTTCTTATCACCAGGTTACACATAAAGATTCTGAAGCACAGAGAGGTTAACCTACTTGCTCTAGGTCACACAGTCATTTCTTCAGACTCAGGAATTGAATAATTATCCTAGACTGAGGAGGACCAAGGATATATAAGCAAGAAAATCTTACAACTATGATTCCTTGGCACCAAATACCCATGAAACCAGAAGTATCTAGGGCCTTAGGCATGGAACCTGATCTTAACAGCAGGTGGTCCTGCAGGAGTGATCCCCACCAGGAGTCACCTGTAGGCAGGGCTCTTCCAGATGGACAGGCAGTTTCAGGATGGTAAGCACTGACTTCACACCTGCTCTCTTCTCTATATTCTTTAGATGATTTATCAAGTTCACCTGAGAGGCGGATCCCCCTCAAAGAGACTAAGCACTTACACACACACACACACACACACACACACACACGATTAGTGACGTTACTAAACTGGGATATCATTCAGCATGTGGCCTTCTATCAGACATGTCTGGTTTTAACCAAACTCCCGCTACTGTCAAGGATCAGCACTCTTCATCATAGGCATGACAGTTTTCCACTTTAGCAAAGTTTTAGAATAAAACGGATTTCAAATTAATAGTATCTTTCTTGTACTTTGGGGACTTTGAAAGGTTGGGGGGTAGGATGTCCAATTATAATCAGGAACCAGACAAACGTACTAACACCACTATTACTTAACATCACTGTGGAAGTTCCAGCCAAAGCAATAAGGTGAGAGAAACAAATAAGAAATACCAGAAAGGAGGATATAATCTTATCACTGTGTCACAGATATATGATTATCTATCTAGGAGTCCTAAAGGAATTTATTTTTAAAAATCAGTAAGGTAATCAGCTTAAAACATGTAAAATAATTTTTTTTACACTACTAACGATTGGTTAGAAAATTTGCTAGGGAAAAATATATCATTCACAGTAACCTCAGAAATATAAAGGCAGATAAAAATTTAAAAAGAAATGTGCAAGACCAAT